TGTTCTCAAGACAGACAGTGTGCTCTGTTTCAGTCAGTTCAGTCTGTATGAAGATGAGGGGAATATCTGCTGCTGCCTGTGTAGCTTTTGTTCTGAGCTGCAATGTCACTGCAGGTAAGAACTTTTCAAACTGTTCAGTCTGTGCAGCACTGTCATCAGGTTTAATAATTTGTTTTATACTTTTCATAGAAATGATGAAACAGAGTTACTGTGAGGTAAAGTGAACATTACTTCAGGAAGTGTGTTTGTAATTAGTCTTGATAGATTAACTGATGTGAATAATGGAGCTCGATCAGGAGGGAATACATTAACAAAACATCTGCTCACATATTTTTATGTTGCTTTTATGACCATAAAGTTCTGTAGAAGTGTTCAAACCGTGGCTTCTGATGGTGAGATAGTGCACGTACACGGACATGAACACTCGCCTACATGCAAACAGTATAACCTGCGTATTATTACATTTCACTTCATATAGAGAATATTTATCCTGGAGTGATGGTCTGTAAAGAACAGCAGCAACAAAAGCCGACTGTTGCGCGGCCTCACTGCACGTGTGTCTTGGCCAGAAAGTAACACGAGAACACACACCATTGACCACAGTGACTGTCAGACTCCTCACAGTGCTCTTAACTATCAGCATGTTATTTATAACAGAACCAAAATATACTGAACAAACACATACAAATGCAATCGCTATTACCTTATAATTGTGAAAAGGTTAATTTTAGACGCACAACCCCTCCTAACAGCTTAGGCTCTGGAACTTTGAAAAGCACCCATATCGCTCCACCTTCTCGTCTGTGGACGAGTATGCTTCGGCTGACTCCAAATCACAAAAACCAACTGACAACAAAACAAAGAGAGCATGCGGGTTTCTCGGCTTTGCCTGTTTTAGAGCATGCAACAAAAAAGATTAGGTGTTGACAACCCCTAAAGACACCATGCGATACAGGATGTCCTTTTTGTTCGTCTCTAATAATTGCTCAAGTGGATTATAAATATGACAAATAAAAATTAACTCAGTACAGCAAAACACACCACAGCAACACCATTTACAATGTAAAACACAAATACAGATACACAAACATCAATAATGAACTAAGGTTGCAAAAGGACCTGTATGCGGTACTTCAAATATACACAGGTGTCATATAACGTAACACAATCACCTCAGGAGAGTATATAAGGACAGTGTGACTATCTTATTAGCTTCATGTAACAACACTCACTACAACCTCCACATATCTCACCAACCACTAGATGACCAGTCTTATACTAATCTGTTACTGGCACAAGACAATAAACCAAAAACACAAACCATGCTTATCGCTATCCATGTCAGAACTGAAACAACATTCACTCAATGTTGTGACTTCAATCTCTCAATCATCCTGTACCTGCGCACAATTAACACACTACACAAGCAAAGAAAACCCAACGGGAGAAGAAGCCGATGAATGTTGTGATGATATAATGGTGAATGCAGTCAATTGACCTCAGTATACAAATGCGTACGCAACTAGAACAGCACGGCGGTCCTCACCATCATCCGTGTGGGCATAACAAATAGCGTACGGAACGGCATGTATGATCATCGTCCACAAAATATGTATTAGGATCATATAATGTGTAGAAACTAACTAACAGAGAACAGGCTATTATCTGAAGTGTGTAAACTGTAGAATTTCAATACTATATACAATTATATTAACTAACCCACAATCACACTTCTACACACCTTAATAGTCTGGCTTTCTACTCTTCCACATACAAACAAAAAATCCACTCCTCTGTATCTGTGTAGTGTCGTAACTGTGGTCAAAAACCATATTAACGGGATAACTACACAAAGGATCAACCCGATACACTACTGACCAAACCCCAATTACGGCATGTCAACTCATTAGAATGTATTTGTCTCTTTCTTTCTGTGGTTAACAGCCACTGACGTTTCCTCTCCTCTGAATAAACAACATGATCATAGGTCAGTCACAACCAGTACACCAGTTATATATACACTGGAAGAAATAAAAACATCAAATGAAATGTATTTATTAATCTCCAAAGAGGGGAAATCATGTCACAGTACAGAAACTGTCTAAAGAGGTACAAGAAAAGAGAGTTGGAAAGAGATTAAAAAACTATTTAAAATAATAATACAAAATCAGAAATTAAGAGGAATACATAAAGAAGATACAGAAGGGTGACAAATGAAAGGAAAACCAACATACAGTGTCTTAGTCAGAGATAGTTATAGATACAAAATACAAAATATTTAGGACCTTATGGCATTTTCAAGACTACAACACATCTGAACAACAACCACCCACAGCCAAAACCCCCTAAACTGCAGTCCTTGCGCCCTGTTTCACGATATATATCTGAAAATTGGTACACAGATGTATCATATACAGAGAAGCCTCAAGGACCCATACCCCAAACCCAACAAGAAGTTGGCCATTTTGAATTTAGTGGTCATTTTGGGCGATTTGCACAAGTTGCACTTCTTCTAGGGAATTGATCGGATCGACTTCAGAGTTAGTCAGTGCAAAATTGTGCTATTTGTAATTGATGTAACTTACACAAGCATACACGATCTAATGGACCCCAACTTCATGTTTGAGTGCTAGCTTGAACACATTAACATGACCATATTTAGTCATAGGCAATAATAATAATAATGCCACATCATCTCATTTATATGAGTGAAATGCTGATGCATGACACCACGTACGCTGACTGCGAGGGCCTCATTCATTGCTGCTTGCAGCTTTAGCTGACTGTTGAGTCTCATCCCCAGGGACATAAAGACCTTTGAAGATCAACAATCAACTATCTTCCTCGGCTCTGATTGGTTGTTGTCGTTCAGACTTGTTGTGTTCTTGCTTCTTAATACCCTTAGGAGCACAGTTTTCACAAATTATCCGTCTCATGTTAGGATATAAGTTTCAGCAAATATCACAAAGTCTCACATTTATTAAGTCACATGTGCTTTTTTTGAGACGTCCCTTGAAACTGGTTTAATCTTGACTTATATTCAGGTCCAACGTTGGTCACTGGTTTCCAGCTGCTTTGGTCTTCTCCAGTAAAAAATACGTGTTGTCAGTCGGCTGTGAAGAACCTGTTCATCGAGACATAATCACAGAATGTCACTTTCATGTACAAGAAATTACTCCCAACTGCTTCTCATTCAATATTTTATTCATAGAGATGTTTTTATCTCCAATATAACAGTAGCTTAGATTTTGTAGATTTACTCTCTCCTTTTAGTTTGCAACATTTGGGAATACAATCTGTCTGTTTACGTAGCTCATATTATAATGGCTCTTTGACCCAGTAAACTTACTACAGTGGTGGCCAAAATTATTAAAACACTTATTTAAGAGATTTCAGTTGTTTTTGTTGAATTGGCTATTAAAATACCCATAATACGAATGAAATATCTACAAAGTCATCATTATGCTCTATAAACCACAGAAAAGAGCTATCATAAGAGGATTTAGGTAATTTTCCTTACAGAAAACAAGCTAGGCCTATTTCACTGTCAATGTCATACAATCATGTTCCTCCACAGAAGAAGCCAAATTAGTTATCATTGTCAGGTGTGATCGTGGTTAAATTTACGGTGATGCAAGTCACAGCTGTGTGATTCTTTTAAATGTACAAGGCCTATCTTGCTCATTAAGTGATTGATAACATCAGGGTTGGGTCACTGAGGCCACAACACAAATTGGTATAAATTTAAAGCCTCTAGAAGTAGTCTTGAAGCACATCTTGCCCTTTGAACATGGCTAAGGTGAAGAAGGAGCAAATTAAGGCCCTTTTTGATGCTGGCTGGAGTTACCACTGCATAGCCAAGGACTTGAGATGCAGTACAAGCACTTTAAAGTACACTTTAGACCGCCATGATGCTACCAAGAGGTAGAAAAAAGAAACTTTCAGACAGACAAGTAAAACATCTCAAAATTCTCAGTCTTAAGGAACGAAAAAAGTGACTTAGTAAAAAGTGATGGCACCACAGATAAGAAAGTATACCACAACATTCTGGTGAGGCACGGAGTACCATCTGGGGGTTGTCTTATTGGGCTTGGATTTATTTTCCAAGAGGACAATGACCCTAAACATTCTTCTAACTATTGCCGAAACTACCTGCGACAGAACAGATCTGCTGGAATACTGAAAATGATGCACCGGCCCCCTCGAAGTCCGGACCTCAACCCTATTGAGCAAATTTGGGGCGAGTTGGAAAAAAAACTGGACAGATCTATTGTGCATTCAAAGGAAAGCCTTTGGCCTGAGTTGCAGAAGGCATGGGATAACGTTAGTGTTTAAGTTATTAGAAAATATATTGACACTATGCCAGAAAGATGTGCTGCTGTAATTGCTGCAAAAGGTGGACATACAAAATATTAACGTTAAAAGTGGATAAAACAGTAGGACACTCTTCATCTGATATTTGTTGTGCTCAGAGCAACCATCTGCATGTTTAAGGAACATTATGAAATTAAATCTTGTTTTGGAGGCAAAAAAATATTTTCAGATCTGTCAGGCGATAATAATTTTGGCAACCACTGTATGTAAAATCTGCAGCTGATGATTAAAGTTACCTTTATTATTTCCAACAAGAAAAGTGCCACCGATCAAGGAATATGGGGACTCATTAGGTAGAAATGTCTCTGTAAAAAGAAATGAAATATAATGAATAACCAGAAATATAACATCAGAATATTTGATTCAATGTTAAAATGTGTGACTGAACGTTGATTACCAGTCTTCTTTCCCACTGGTGGAAGATCAGTGATGGTGGAATATGCGGGATCGTTTGTTGAACCACCTATTAAAACATTTACCAACAAGCATTATTAATGATATTCTACAGGTAAGGATACCCAATTACAATGTATTACAATTTCAATTAAACTAGAAGAAACATTTTTATACAGTGGGTTCCTTGGATGATGCCAATTTTACTGATATAGGCCACGCCCATTCACACCTTGAAAACATTTTGCCCCTTTGGATTTTTCTTTTGGCACATATTTCATCCAATCTTCAACAAAATAGCAGTGATAAGTAGAGCTGAACAAGACTTTTTGGTCTTGACTGTGTTTTGGTATCACTTAGTGTTTGTCTGTAATTGGTTACCGAACTTTTGAAGGCAGGGACCGATGCACTTAACAGACCATAATTGTTCAATCCTAAAGCCATGCTGCACATATATGTAACATTTTATACAATTCTACTGACAATAGCTCCACAATAATACTAAGTTAAAGAGGACAGGACACAGTTCAGTGCTGCATACAGGTCAGAGGTCAGTACTAACTGCAGGTGAGAAGTTAGTGATATTTACACGTCAGTGGTCTGTATAGTTTATTTGATTCAAATAATAGTAAAAATAATGATATTGTTATATAGGTCAGTGCTGTAGGTACAGGTCAGGGGTCTGTTCTCTCTATCTGATTAATACAATAATAACAATAATGATATTAACTTTCATAAGTCCAATAATTTGATAATAATTGTCTTTCAGAGACAGTTAATAAAGTTTTGACGGAGTCTATTTGACAATAATAATAAGTTACAGAGGACAGGACAGAGGCCAGTGCTGTAGATACGAGGCATAGGTCAGTGGTGTAGATTCAGGTCAGAGGTCTGTACTGTCAATTTGATGTCAATTTTCAAATAATAGTAAAAATTTGTCTGTTTATGTAGCTCATATTATAACGGCTCTTTGACCCAGTAAACTTACAGTTCATATGTATTTGCATTTAATACCACAAAGGCCAAAATTCTGCAGCTGATGATAAAAGTTACCTTTATTATTTCCACCAAGAAAAGTGCCGCCGATAAAGGAGTATGGGGACTCATTAGGTAGAAATGTCTCTGTAAAAAGAAATGAAATATAATGAATAACCAGAAATATAACATCAGAATATTTGGTTCAATGTTAAATGTGTGACTGTGAATGTTGACTACCAGTCTTCTTTCCCACTGGTGGAAGATCTGTGATGGTGGAATATGTGGGATCGTTTGTTGAACCACCTATTAAAACATTTATAAATAACAAGCATTATTAACAATATTCTACAGGTAAGGATACCTAATTACGATGTATTACAATTTCAATTAAACTAGGGAATATTTTTTTACAGTGGGTTCCTTGGATGATTCCAATGTTACTGATATATGCCACGCCCATTCATGCCTTAAAAACATTTTGCCCCTTTGGATTATTTAGGAAAGACATTTTTGCTTCTTTTTGCAAATATTTGATAAAATCTTTAACAAAATAGCAGTGATAGCATATGCAGATGAAGCCAAACAAGACCCTTTTGTCTTGACACTTTGTGTTTGGGTATCACTTACGAAGGCAGGGACCGATGCACTTAACAGGCCATAATTATTCAGTGCTAAATTGGATTGCAACCAAATTCACGAATGATGTACATAAAGCCATGCTACACATGTGTGTAACATTTCATACAATTCTCCTGACAATAGCTCCACAATAATACTAAGTTACAGAGGACAGGACACATGTCAGTGCTGCATACAGGTCAGAGGTCAGTACAGTTTATTTTATTCAAAAATGTGTAACAATAATGATATTGTTATATAGGTCAGTGCTGTAAATACAGGTCAGGGGTCTGTACTCTGTACTATTATATTGATTAATATAATATTAACAATAATGATATTAATAATATTGACTGTATTTCATAAGTTCTATTCAAATAATTTGATGATAATTGTCTTTCAGAGACAGTTAATAAAGTTTTGACGGAGTCTATTTGACAATAATAATAAGTTACAGAGGACAGGACAGAGGTCAGTGCTGTAGATACGTGGCATAGGTCATGTAATATTAACTTTATTCATAAGTTTCAATGAAGTCCAATAATTTGATAGTAATTATGTTGTTTCTCACCGTTTGTAGATCTGTCCTGTATATCCTCATAGACAGGGAAACTTTCTTCAGTTCCTGCAAAAGAAGATTGTGAAGGTCACAGTTTCAGTAATCTGCTGAGTAATCAGTGATTGTCTGCTTTAAAATGACAAACAGGCGACCTTTGACACCCCATACAATGATGTCCAATTGGGCTCTTGTGTAGCGTGATGTTGTCTATAAAAGGCAACAATGCAGCAATTGCTTGTCATCAGTAAATTCAATTCAGTTTATTTCTGCCCCACAAATATAAAACATGAATGAACACTTAAAAACAAAATGCAAGCACAGAGAACTAATGTGACTAACTAGCAGGCTAATGTGTTAGCACAGCAGTTCACTGTGGGTACGTCATCAATCTTTCTCTGTGTGACCAGATATTAAGGCTTACAGTTTTATTTAGTTATTAATTAGAGGAGGGAAAGAGAGATGCAGCAACTCAACCCACAGATATCTAACTGTAATCACTCTGTAGGGTACATACAGTCAACATATAGCCTACAGCTTTAATTTACCTTGTCTCTTAAACCTGCATCTCCGAGTACAGTAGACAATGATGATGATGACGAGGAGGAGGAGGAGGAAGAACGGAACAACTATTCCTAACACCAAACCACGAGGTTCAGTAGCCGCTGGAAGACAAAGTAAGAATGAATAACACATCACGTTGTACACAGTACACTGCTCAGTCTGTCACAGGTTCAGTTCCGTATCTACAGGTTAGAACGTCATTTTAAACATTTAACATTTAAATGTGGATCAGAGGTGGCAGGCCTACCTCATTCAGAGGAGTTCAAGTAGCTTTTGCTGACCCTAAAGTATGTTTCTGTTTTGTCGCAGTGGTTCAGACTGCTTTAGACGCTGTCGAAGCACCAGACTGCAGTCTTTACCTTGACCCCAAACACTGACCGTCCCCCCAGTAAGCAGCCGCTCTGAGCACAGATAGCTGCAGCTGATTAGGGCTGTGGTTACAGCAGATGCACTGATGTCAAATAATCCTTCAGATATTACTATTTCTATCACACGTTTACAACAGCAGGTGGCGCAGTTCAACTGTGAAGGTCAACTGTTTACTGATTCTGGAGGCCAAACGCCTAAAGTCACTGTCCTGTGCAGGAGAGGGAGGGAGGCAGCAGAGGTGAAGGGTGTACTTACACTGTGTTGTAGTCAGTGTTGGAGTTGAAGGAGTTTGTTTTGTTGTTGTTGTTGAAGTTGAAGGAGTTTGTTTTGTTGTTGTTGTTGTTGTTGTTGAAGTTGTTGTTGTTGTTGAAGTTGAAGGAGTTTGTTTTGTTGTTGTAGTTGTTGTTGAAGTTGAAGGAGTTTGTTTTGCTGTTGTTTTTGTTGTTGTGTTTGTTGTTGTTGCTGCTGTTGTTGTAGTGGGAGCAGTTGTTGTCGTTGCTGCCGTTGTTGTTGTATTATATGTACTTTCTGTGTGGAAAGAGAGAATACATAGTTCATGTGTAAATATAATGGCATCATAATAACATTCAGTAGTTTCTGTCTTTCAGGGTTAGAATTTATGGCTTCGTTGTATTTTGTTGTAATTTCTGATGTCTTAAGTATAAATTAAATTTTGACTGGTGAAAATTCAAATGTAAGAAATCTGTAATTATATTCTGACTCGAAAGAATGAAGATAACAAGATATGAACAGTCCATATGAATTCCAGATATCTCCGTGTTATAGCTAACTGAGATACAAATTCAATAACAATGTTTGTAGTCCGGTGTAAAAGTACAGGGGTTAAAACAAGTTAATTTGTAATACAAATAATTATTTCAGTGAATTAATTAAATAATTCAGTAATGCAAATAAACTGAAAGTAATTTAGGTTAAAAGCAGTGAAAGATGAAATGTTAACCGATAGATTAACATAAATT